TATATATATATATATTATATATATATTATATTTTAGATTTTATTTCCCTTTGGGATTAATAAAGTATTTTTGAATTGAATTGAGTCTGAAACCAAAACCAAAATCAAAATCAACACGATGTGGAACCATAACAATCAGGCTCCACAAAGACAAAAACAAGCAATACTGAAGCTGTACTAATTTTAGGTGATTCAATGTCAAAAACCAAAAAAAGAAAAAAGGCAATTTTGTGTTCTGTCACAGCCTATTTGTTTGTGGTGTTCGGCTTACTTGTTTCACTCAAAACATTGTGCTTATTCAACTACTAAATCTGAATTATTTTCCACTATTTTAACTGTCCTCATAAAACAGCTTTTCACTGGTTGCAACAAAATCCTTCTGCACTTTGATCTATAACTGAGTTAATTGGCTTCCCAACCACTTAGAGATTCATTTTATTAATGTATGCACCAGAGCAATTTAACTTGAAAGTGCTTCTGGGTAAAACGCTGATAAATGCTGATTTATGTTTATTTTGCTTCTCTGGCAGAGCAATTTGTGGCTGTTGTTACTTTTAGAGGTTGCACTAGTTAAGGATTCAACATAAGTTATAAATTCCATCAAAGTAAAAAATATTCATGTTTGTCCATGGCGGTCACAGGAAAAGAAGGCGACAAGAAAAAACATACACCTACAGGCATCACAGCAAAAAATAGCATTTATAGTGGAGACATGTAACCACAGGAGGAATGGTCCAGAAGTGTTTTAATGCAACCTCAACAAGGTGCTGCTCCTTGAAATGTATCCTCTTAATTATCTAAGGTCAGTAATTATACAAAATTATGATATATTATGTATAATTTACAAAAAAAAATGGAAAAATGCAAGGCATCAAGCTGGACAAACTAGATGTAGATACTTTTAGACTTTTTGCATCATCTCAATATAACTTACTATGTTTTTCCCTTTTTTATTTAAAAAGCTTAAGTGACGGGCCACATAATCCACTTCTCATTTACATTTCTTTGAAGAGCAAAGCACTAATCTGCTGAAGACAAATTACTTTCCTTTAGTTATTTATTTGCATTCATCTTGACCTGTAATGAAGCAGAACCAAACAGATTTTCTTTGAATGCAAGCATGTGCATGTTGATAAAGGAACAAAGCCCTTCTAAATCTACTTGTAAAACAATTATAAACAAACTTCAGTCCTTAAGTACGTGGGTTTTTGAAGGATTGACTCTATCCTTCAATTACCTGTTGGATCAGGTGTCGTTTCCCAGTGCAGGTCTCCATCTTTGTCCCTGATCCAACCACAAAGACCATCATCAAAGGAGCAGCTCAAATACCCAGAGCCTGAGAAACAGAGTAGATTACAAATGTGTCATCCTGTGTGCCTTTAACATCAACAAAGAAGAAAGACAAGCCTTCCTCTGATAAAACCCAAGTGTGTTTTTAATTTATCAGGAGAGTATTTAATATGTAAAACTAGATGGCATTCCAAACAGAAATTCATCAAACATGAAATTCCATACAAGTGATCCCTATGTGAACCTAAACCAGGTCTTGTGTGAAGCCAGATTAGTTGGAAGTGAGTATAGTCATTAGTAAAGGTGTCTTTTTCAAGTAAAAACTTGTCAGTAAAGAAGAAACATATTTTTGTCTAAGCCCCTTTATCAAATATTTTACTGCTATTGTAATAGTCTTTTATTGCTTCGTTGTAATACCCTAATATTTAATGTGCAATCCTCAGTAAAAAAGTAAAAAAGAAAAAGCGAGAAAAGATTATTCTGCCAGGATAGTCTTCTATATGTTATTTAATTCAGATATAGAATGCGTTAAACATGGAGTAAAATCATTGAGTATAACACTAACCTAAATATAACCTAGAGCATAGAAAACGATCTAGAATTGATGGATTTAGCAACAAAAAGATCAGGATGATAACAAGGAGACCTTCCAAACTTGAAGCTTTGATCTAAAAAGACTGTTCATCCAAACAGTCATGAAAACCTACAAAAAGCTGACCATTAATTGTAAGACAGGGTAAAAATGCTCTAATGTAAAAAGTTATCCAATTTAATATTGAAAAGACTGAAAGTATGCTCATTTTATACCAAATCTATCATCACTTTAAAGGCAAACTATGCAAATGTAGAGCAGGTCAAGAGAGAGAGGAAATTTAAACTCTTATCTTTAAGTACAAATTGATTATAATGGGTGGCATAAAGGGATCACTTTCAAAAAAACATGAAGGTGCTGAACATAAACAAGAACGCAGTATGTGCTTCAATCATATTAGTTCTATTTCTAAAGGGAACCCAAACTAAAATGTTAACAATTACACTCACCGGCCACTTTATTAGGTACACCTGTCCAACTGCTCGTTAACACTTAATTTCTAAGCAGCCAATCACATGGCGGCAACTCAGTGCATTTAGGCATGTAGACATGGTCAAGACAATCTCCTGCAGTTCAAACCGAGCATCAGTATGGGGAAGAAAGGTGATTTGAGTGACTTTGAACGTGGCATGATTGTTGGTGCCAGAAGGGCTGGTCTGAGTATTTCAGAAACTGCTGATCTACTGGGATTTTCACGCACAACCATCTCTAGGGTTTACAGAGAATGGTCCGAAAAAGAAAAAACATCCAGTGAGCGGCAGTTCTGTGGGCGGAAATGCCTTGTTGATGCCAGAGGTCAGAGGAGAATGGCCAGACTGGTTCGAGCTGATAGAAGGGCAACAGTGACTCAAATAACCACCCGTTATAACCAAGGTGGGCAGAAGAGCATCTCTGAACGCACAGTACGTCGAACTTTGAGGCAGATGGGCTACAGCAGCAGAAGACCAGACCGGGTGCCACTCCTTTCAGCTAAGAACAGGAAACTGAGGCTACAATTTGCACAAGCTCATCGAAATTGGACAATAGAAGATTGGAAAAACGTTGCCTGGTCTGATGAGTCTCGATTTCTGCTGCGACATTCGGATGGTAGGGTCAGAATTTGGCGTCTACAACATGAAAGCATGGATCCATCCTGCCTTGTATCAACGGTTCAGGCTGGTGGTGGTGGTGTCATGGTGTGGGGAATATTTTCTTGGCACTCTTTGGGCCAATTTGGTACCAATTGAGCATCGTTGCAACGCCACAGCCTGCCTGAGTATTGTTGCTGACCATGTCCATCCCTTTATGACCACAATGTACCCAACTTCTGATGGCTACTTTCAGCAGGATAATGCGCCATGTCATAAAACTGGAATCATCTCAGACTGGTTTCTTGAACATGACAATGAGTTCACTGTACTCAAATGGCCTCCACAGTCACCAGATCTCAATCCAATAGAGCATCTTTGGGATGTGGTGGAACGGGAGATTCGCATCATGGATGTGCAGCCGACAAATCTGCGGCAACTGTGTGATGCCATCATGTCAATATGGACCAAACTCCCTGAAGAATGCTTCCAGCACCTTGTTGAATCTATGCCACGAAGAATTGAGGCAGTTCTGAAGGCAAAAGGGGGTCCAACCCGTTACTAGCATGGGGTACCTAATAAAGTGGCCGGTGAGTGTATTTCCAAATGATAATACAATGGCCATGAAAATAGACAATCCATAGATATATGTGATCTTGCATATCTTTCAAAGCGTCATCATTTTGCTTTTAATAAAGGGGACTCTCTCTCCACTCGCCAAAAAATGCCAAACTGAATCTTTCAGCTATTTAATCCACACTTTCCCTTGATGTTAATCACACCAAATGGACATGACTTAACAAAAGTGATCATTTTGGATCGATCTATGCATTGAATTTTGCTTATTGATGAATTTTAGAGCATTAAACTAATGTGCTTCCAGTTAATTCATCATTGAGGCAGTGAAACGAGCAGAGGGTGAGAAAAAGGACATTCTGCTGCACATAAGACTGTTGTGATTAAACAAACATGTCCAGATGCCAGGTGTTCCCTCCGATTAAATAAACCTGGTCACTTTAATAACCTCATCTTTGCATGAGGAGCTATAGGAGATTGTTTCTAGTTATCTAAACCTAAAGTTCATGTTATTCATATCCTGATCCGTCTGTGAAATGCTCTTTCTAGCTGCGGCTGTCATACATATCATCTTACCTGGATCATCGCTGGCTTCATCTGCCGTGTTGCCAAGCTCAATATCAAAGTCTGTATCGAGAACAGTGTTCTGGCCGTTATTCCTGGGGACTGAGAGGAGAGGCATGGGTTTATATAAAGGATTAACAAATATATTGTATTGATTCAATGTTCTCTGCTTTGAGTGGCTGCATGACTTTGTTACAATGGACATCAAAGTGCTTTACAGGGAGGAATCAATGTCAAGGGTTTAACATCTAAAAAACAGCAGATATTGATTAAAGACATTAGAAAAGGGCAAGCCCTGTGTTTTGACTGGAGCAAGGTCTTTTCAAATGTCGTTATATATACTTTTTTTGGTTTATATTCTATTGATCCAAATGGAGGAAATTTTCCTGAAACATAAAAAAAAAAAAAAAATCTCATTATAAACAAACTGCAAAAGGCCTAGCACCTTTGTACTAATACAAATTACCCCTCCCTTCACCCTACTTATCATACTAACAACATCCGAGGTAGGAGTAAAAAGCAAAGCTTTTGGCTTTCAGGGCCCTTTCCATCCTTCCATTTTTTCTGGCAGTCTATGGGTGAGAGGCGAGGTACACCCTGGACAGGTCATAAAGCAAAACAAAAACACACAAGGACACATGCATGCATGGGGAGAACATGCAGAAATATCCCAGGCAAAGAAACAAACCCAGAAACTTCTTGCTGCAAGGCAACAGCACTACCCACTGCTCCACCCTGCAGCACCATTTCCAGTTATTTAAGCTATTTCCAGCCCTTTCTCTCTGGAAATAGGTTTGGTAAGGAAAATTGCCATGCCAAGCTTTAAAAAAAACCTAAAAACCTTCCTCAGTACTTATCCATTAATTAACTTATTAGTATTAGATATTTCATTGAACTGCCAAACCATTGTCCCTTATATCGTATGTTTGTTTAACTCTTTAAGTGAGTTTGCAAATGCTATATTAAAAAGCTGAACTGATTTAATTTCGTCTGGTCATGATTCCTACAAAATGACACATGACCTCCTCTCATTTAGCCTTGGTCAGAAGAGTATTCCTGCACCTTGATAACAGAAAAGAGGTTAGTAGAGATGTTATCAGAAACACCTCTATCAAAAGCTCTATGGAAAAAAGCAGATTAAGAGGCAGTTTTGCTCATTTAAACTGAAGTTTTCAGCCAAAGAAGCCTGCAAAACAATCTTCTGTTAAAGAGGGGCAAAAATGTTGACCTTCTTTCACAAATTGAATAAAAATAAAAGACAGTGTGGGTCTCAGATGTTCATTTTTCTTATGTTTGTCTAGCTGCCTTAGAAGAAAGCACTTCTGCCTTTCATTAATAACTGCAGAAGGCCAAGCTGACATTAAATGTCAACCATTTTTAGAGTCCTGTGTCTTATCCAGCAAGAAAAAGTTTATTTTAGGTAGAAAAAGGTATAATGTTAAAGAGGAAGAGCGTATTTTACATATACATGGTCATGTTTGATTATCAGAACAGGTGCTGGTGTATGCATGGATATATTTATAACTAATACACATCTAATCCCCTGAGACGCTGAGCACGTGCACTGAATAAGCCTGTGGTTCATGACCACCTGGTAGAGTACAGAAATTGGTCAACTGGAAAAATCCCAGAGTGGGAGAGGTCATGCATACACCAGGCACTCCAGCAATCCTTGGCATCCCAGTCCATCTGTGTGTAAATCTTGGTTTCAGTGCCTGGATTAAGTCCCGTTTGAAATTGTACGCAGAGTGAATGTTGAGCACACTAAAAAGATCTGGTGGTAAACTGTTGTGATATTGTATTCTCCCTTAAAAGCTTCTTTTGTTTTAGCTTTTTTTTGTGCCACACTAAAATGCATTGGAAAAAAGGGTAAAAAAAAAAAAGAAAGTAGTGTAAATTAAAGATAATTTTTCATTTATCAATGGGAAAGTTAGTCTAGAGAGTATTATCTCCCCACTCCCTAAAAATAAATGAATGCACAACAATGGACCATTCTGTGGTACATACAGATGACACCACCTTCATTGGTCCTATCCAGGAAAACAATGTCCTCATACAGACAGGAGGTGACTTGGCTGATTCACACCTACTGGATCTTAATCATATAAAGTCTAAGGAGATGGCTGTGGACCTCTAGAGCAGTGGTTTTTAAACTAGGTCCTTAGCATCCACTGTCCTGCATATTTTAGGTATTTTCCTGCCTCCACACACCTGGCTTAAGAAACTGTTGAATAGCATGTCACTGCAGCCTATGGTGGCTGTTGAGAAGGAAGTGCGATCATTTGATGCAGGTGTGCTGGAGCAAAGGTCTATGACATGCAGGACAGTGGGTCCCCAGGACCGAGTTTGAAAACCACTGCTCTAGAGAGCTCTCCTCTTCCGTCACACATCTCGCATACAAACTGTTTATATTATGACCTACAGATCAGCACAACAGTGTGCTATTTTCACAAACCAACAACCATAGAGACAGTTTCTTCCCCTAGTCTGTAAGTCTCACCAACAGAATGTGCTCCTCACAGCCAGATTAGTCAGCTACATTATGAAGGCCTAAAACTCTAAAGTATAAAGGGCAAAAAAGGTTAGTTCTCATTTGACTGATGACATAAAACATGCACCAGACGACTGTAACAAAGTAAACCACACATAGAAAAAAAAGCCATTGAATGATGTCTAATAAAGAGGAAATACGTTTCCATTTTCTCCTGCATAGTCCTGGTCAGGGTCACGGTGGGGCCGGTGCCTATCACTGACAGCCTATGGGAGAGAGGCGGAGCATATCCTGGACAGGTTGCCAGGCTGTCACAGGGCAACACAAAAAGACACACAACCATGCACACAAGCCTAAGGAAAATTTTGATAAGCCAATTAGTCATGTTTTTCGCATGTTGGAGGAAGCTGGAGTACCCAGAAAGAACCCACGCATGCACGGGGAGAACATGCAAACTTCAGGCAGAAAGACCCAGAGCCTGGCATCAAACAAACATCATAAACAAACTTGTACTATATCAGCACAAATAATACTAGTCTATTTAATCCTAACTGATTGTCGATGAAAATATTTCTCATTAGGTATCATAATAAAAGCACCTTATAAGATGAACTTGTCATTAGTGAATATTTAAGTGAAACAGTGAGGGAACCCTTATCCAGAAGTGGAAGGAACACTGTTTTTTCATTCATTATCTCAGTTAGGATTAAATTAGCTCTGAAATCCTTGATTCTTAATGAAAGTGACTGCATTGATTATGTTTTTACTGTCAAATAATAAAAACATTGAAAGTAAAACTACCGGTAATATATATGATGACAGCACAGGTCCTCACAAAGAAATGAAAATACTTTGATTTATTGCTCAGTGTTTTCTATTCCTCAGGCTGTTCTCCTGAAATCCCCTGCTAACTTGCACTAAGAGACACATATCAATTCTCATTTCTGACCAAAATATTTGTACGATTATTTTCTGAAAGATTGGCTCCATTTTCCATATAATCGTCATCAAAAAGCTCTGCTGTGGTGAAAACTATTAGATTGGATGTTTTGCTCAAGCCGAGCGAAAGGTAGATAATGCAATCTTCTTTCTTTATTAGCTCTTGTTGTTATGAGATGCCATCTGGCCAGATGAGTAACATCCAGATTCTATTTTTATTTTCTGGTATTTAACTGTTCAAACTCAGTAGACAGCAAGTGTTACATTTGAGTTTTCTTACCCATCATCTAAATAGGGGTTAAAAAAAACTTACCGGTATTCCATTTATTCCTTTCACCTTTACCCTTGACTTTCACATCTCTATATAATTAAAAATGTCCAAATAACTACTTAGTTTTCTCCAGATTCAAGTTCGATTTGCTTATGCCAAACCTGTTTTTTTTTAGCTTATTTGTTTTTGGTGTGATATCATTCAAAACCTGCTCTAAAGCACTCACAGTACTGAATATATTTGCATCATCTGCAAACAAAACAAACAGGGATATTTTTGAAACTTAAAATTCATTTTTGCAGAGAATAAAATAAAATTAGCTTCTGTAGCTATCCTTTGCAGGGCGTAGCTTCCCATTGCTCTGGTGCTTTTTCCCTGGTGGACTTCTCCAATCTCCTGTGTCTGCTTTCCTCCTGAGCTTTCACCTCTTTGGCAAGCTCCAGAATACCTTTGTGCTGCACTCAGCAGAAACCTCCTATCCTATCAAGATAATGTATTCTTATGGACAACAACAGGCTGAATGGTAGTAATTAATAAGTTTTAGTAATATCAAGGGACCCAGAAAATATTTCTTAGTAAAAGCAGTCTTATCCTGTCATTACTGGTGTGCATTTACTTAGAAATACATGAATCCAATATAAGCCTACAAAATAAATACTGAATCCAGTCTTTGATATGTTTTATTTGGTTGGTCATATGTAAAAATGACATAGTTAAGTAAGAAAGTATTTCCATCTACCCAGTTTGATTGAACAAAAGATAAATACTGCTTTTATGTTTTACTTTGGCCGAAATGATTTCATTTTAACCCCCTCTAAGTCATTTAAACCTACTTAGCTTAATCGTTTTAATTACAACTGTCATAGAAAAACAAAGAATGGTAATGTGCTTCTAATGAAATAAGAGTCAATGATTCATGCTTGGCTGCCATCACAGTGTGACGTATACACAAGCCAGAAAGTGCTCGCAGGTTTGTATAAAATACGACTGAATATAAAAACAGAATTATCTCAAGATGAAAACATTACCTTAACTGTGAAATTAGCAAGATTGATATCAGATTACAGAGGTACAAAATATGTTTGCCTTCTAGGACATTTTGTTTTACAAATGCTTTAGTCAAGAAGACTTATCTAAAGATATAAAACAGTGAATGCAGACTATTAATTAAAGAATAAATGATAGTATATGCAGTCAAACTTTTTAAACCTGGTCATGCAAGTATGGAAATATGGACACACTATTCTTATTTTTAAGATAGAACTCACAGCTTTTAAAATAAAGTTCTGAATAATTGTATAAAACAAAGTCCGTATGGTGAAGATAAATCAGAAACTCCCTAGCTGTGGAGGTTCCTCCAATTTTTTCAGTGTCAGCTTTTAAATGTTTCTTTCACACACAATATCTATTTTAGGGTGTTTACTTTTTAGCATTTTTATTGTCATTACACTGTCACAAGTACAGAGCAACGAAATGAACTCTCTGCATTTAACCTATCCCCTTTGGTCATGCACTAACCACTAGACCACCACTCCCCCACAAACATGATTTTGATTGTTTGAAGATATGTCATAATGTACTATTTACCGTCCGTAGATGTTTTTTTTTTGTGTGTGTGTGATATATATCCTCTTCTTTCAGCTTTCTTTATTTTACTTTTTTGGTCACATATACAAATTCTACATAAACTAATTTCAATATCAGTCAAAGGTAATCTAAGGTAGTAAAAGGTGAAGTTTTCTCTTTGTGATTCAGTTAAAGCTACCAAAAGTAACCTGGCCTTGAGTGAGAAAGTAACCAACCCTGATTGTGCCAGCCTTGGCAGCAACAACTGCCATTAAGTGGTTGTGAAAACTGGGAAGGGCTTCCTTTGACATTAAATAGGATTACTGGCTAGTATTAATGCTTCCCCAGTTCTCAAAAATACTATAAAACCTTTCATAAATCAATTTGACAGTTTTCTAGAGAAACACAGCTTGTTAAGTAGCTGCCAAAGGTTCATAAGTAATAGATAAACAGAAATGTGCATGGTGATCAGTGTGAACTCTTCATGTACTGTATGCATTTCCTACTCTCCTCTAACTCGTTGTGACATATAACAGCTTGCTTGCTAAGCATAATCTTTCCTCTGACTAATTTATTGTAAGACAGAGTTGGTAAAAATTGAGATTTTCATGGGCATTCTAACTGCTGTGAGTATGCTTTTGAGTATGTGTTGTTCTTTGGGAGTTTTTAATAGGATGAAGGTCTGTGATTAGATTATAACACCTGTTGAAAAGCACACATGAAATATATACAAGGAAATTAGGTTTGTGTGTTGCTGTCCTGGGGAAGTGAGGCTTTCTTTAAGAATCATATTCAACAAGTAGGTTGTGATCCAAAAAGCATGAGGCTTCTTTGTATGGCAAATAAAATAGCTTGTTTGATCATTATATATTGCAGACTTTCTACAGGTTGTAAACTGAATGCTGGCGACTGAGCCAAAGGCCAATATAATATTTTAAACACAAAAGATTTATGAGGACAAAACCAATCAACAAACAAAGAAAAATAATGCTTTTAAGACACTAAGGCATTAAAGCTCATTAGTATTTTGTGACTGAACTTCACATTCAAATGCATGGGTATGTGCAGCCTTACTTTTGCCTGTATGAAATATATGCAAGCTTGTGCATGGGTAATCTATAAAGCTCTGGAGTGCCACTTAGCTTTATCGAGTGTTTAAATCATTGCTTTTGTTTAACAGCCTGCGGCTTTTCTATTTTTGTTCACTGCGGCTGGTTTAAGTATGAAAATACAAACTTGTAGAAAGTTATAGTGTACCACCAATTTTGCACCATATGTGGATTCAAATGCTGACACATAAACTTGATCAAAATAAGATTTGGGTTCTTACTGTGCACATCGCCTCTTTGTTTAGTGACCTCCCTCTGGATGGTGTTGTCCACTGGTGTAACAGGCGGTGGGGTTGGTAATGAGGGTTTTCTTGTGGGATACACTGGCCTTGGTGGGATGTAGGGTTTACGTGTAGCTATTGACGGCCTTCTTGTGGGGATGAAGGGCTTTTGAGTGGGAACTGCTGGTTTATTTGGAGGTGGGGTGACCCTCCTAGGGGATGGTAGGGCTTTGGCCGTAGTTGTGGCCGGTGATTTTGGAAGAGTGGTGAAGGTTTTCTTTGAAGTCACTGCTGGACGGACTGTGCTAATCCTTCTGTCATCCGAGTCAGGGATGTGGTTGTGATGATTGGGAGGCAGTTTGCCTGGTCTTGGGGGGTCAATAATCACCTTTGGAATAGCTGAAATGACAGAAGAATGCAGACAGAGGGCTGAAAGATGAGCACTTTAGGAGGTAATGAGGCACAGAATTGCAGACTAACTGCAGTGATTAGGCTGACTTGCAGAGAGAGCTTTATTCCATCCCCTGAGACTTCTACATGAGATCTATTAACTAAATATAAACAGACTGAAAATGTCTGGGTGAAGCAGAGGAGAGTGAGTTTAAAATCACTAAGAAAAAACCCAAACAAAGCCACAGAAAAACAAAACAAAAAAACTGTATGACAAATATTTTAAAGGCAGAAAGGGTAAAAAGTTTAAACTAATCAACAAATAAACCAACTTTGTATTTGGCTTCACTGATATATGGATAAATATAGAGTTTTCTTCTAAGAGCAGAAGATGTTTATTATTATAAAATAAGTTCAACTGATTTTTTTTTTGGGGGGGGGGCAATCATTAAAATGTATGCTAAATAAAATCTGAGCAAAATAGCAATCAAGCTTTAGTAGTATTCTGAGTCACCCATAACAATAGTGATCTTAAACTCCAATCCTGGAGGGCCTATGTCCTGTTAATATTAGTCTCTTGTCGTACACATCCTAACTTTGCAGGACATCCCCTGCAATGACTGGAGCTTGAGACCACGACCTTAAATGCTCATTATGCCTTATACAAGTACAACCTATGCAGAAAATGAGAAGCCCGTCACAGTGTCTGCAGCATTTATGCTCTATGTGGGTTTCCTCCCATTCTGGTCAGATCCAAAGGGAGGAGGGGTGTTCAGTACAAACAGCAAGCTGAAAATACCACCCCACACTGTCCAAGTAGGACACTCATTTATTTCAAGAAGTTTTTCCACAGTTTGTTGATAGTTGTGTTTTTTGAGCTAAATCACAGGATCTATAGATGTTTATATTTAGGAACCCTTGCTATCAGGAGCTGTTGCCCGCTCCGCCTGTTTTTCTGCGTGGATCTGTCCGGATAGTTACAAATTTTCCTAGGTGTGCAGTGCAGAAATTCTGTCCACACCAACTCTGCATGAAAAGCCATGGAACTCCAAAATGACGTCATTTCGGTTGTGTGGATCTCGCGGATGCATCAAGCATAAACCAAGCTTTACAGTGACTTACTGTACTACAAAAACTAAGAGATTTTCTCACTTTGACTATCATGGCAGATGGTGTTCTTAGCAAGGATTTTGACAACTACAACACTGTAATGCAGTTAAATCATTATTGCAGACTTTGCCATTCCTCTATACCTGGCTTAGAAGCTGTTATACCTCTTTCCTGTGAGCTTTGAGGCCAAATATAACTTGGGGGTAAGTGATTATCGAAATTTTCAAGTTAGAGACTGCTTTAAAAAGGGATAAACAAACTGAATATTGCAACATGAGTCCCCCTCTTTGTCCTGGAAACTTTAGGTAGGTGACATATTGAAATGCTTGGAAATGGGCATCTTTGCTTAATACGCCAAAAATATCAGCTATTTATAAAATGATTAAATAACAGTAATTAATAAATGGCTGCAGATGTAATACACAGCTGCATGCTGACCAGCTTTAAGAGATGAAAATAATTAACATTTGATAATGACTCCCACTTTTGGCTGGCTAAAAATGCAACATAGCAGAAACAGTGACTGTGCATATGAGATAAGGTGAAGTAGAGTGATTTAACCATTGACTGACAGCTATTACAAAGAAAGGAATTTCAGCATCAATTCCTGGCTTTCATGGCTATTCCTCCCTCTTCTTGCTAGTTTAACCTTTTAAGAAACAGCTAAAGAAAGTAAAGTGAGGCCCTATTCACCATTCTGAACTTTTAAACATGGGGGCTGGTATTTTTGTTCCCAGACGTTACTTACGTTTACACTCATGCCCCATCCCCCTGTAGCCATCCATACATTTGCACTTGTATGAGCCTGGCGTGTTGTAGCAGGTGGCAAAGCTGCTGCAGTAGCTCAGACCTAAAGAGCACTCATCCACATCTGAAAGATAAAGGAAACATGAAAACATTTAGCGACAGTGAGGAAACCCTTCAGACATAACAGCAGAATATCAAAGGCTAATTGCTCAGTGTGCACATGATGGGAAACGTAAACTTTTTTTAAACAGAGGCTCTTTATGTTTTCATCAATGCCGCAGCGAGATCATTATGAAGGCTATTTGGGAAAATCCTAAGGCACAGCAATTTACCAAGGCCATTTACGCATCCTGTGGGCAGTGAAATGTTTTATCTATGAATGGCATGTCTGTTTACAAGGTTTGCTTAAAATGCTCTATAAACCAAGCAGATGGAAGACTATTGAATAAAGGTAACTGAAAATTAGTATGACGAATGCCCGTCAGGGCGGACTGTTGAGAGAGGCGCTGAATGCACTACTTTATTACAGAGACATTTTTTTTTTTCAAGGATGCTAAAGTACATGTTAATGTCATTTTCAACACAATTTTAATTTGGGCTTCTTTCTTTTACGACAACAAAGTGGTTATATTCATCAATGATATACTACATGTTTTTTTTAAAACTACATTTTTGGGGGCAATGATGCCTTTCAATTCAATACCAATATAGTGTATGAATAAAAACTAATGTTTATATTCAGAAAGAAAATTTTTTGTTAATGGTCATATCAGGGCTGACACTAAACATTATTTTGCAAATCAATTCATCTGTTAATTATGTTTTTGATAAATCGATTAATAATCGGATAGCCAAAGGTTCCTTAAAGCAGGGTTATTATGAAATTCAACCAGGGAAAACTAAAACTTTTCCACTTGAGTTCTGGATAGAGCAAATTTACAATCAAAAACATTTTTTTTTAATCTTAAATGCAAAATGTTAATTTTTTTTTTTGTATATATATATATATATATATATATATATATATATATATA